CGGTGATTATCTCCAGGCAATCCCCTCTTCGGTTTTAGTACTTTGAAGAGCGATGAACGAATTCGAACGTGACTCGTGAGCCCTTGCACTAGATCAAAAATTGAAATGATTTTTCAAGCTTTTTCCAAGCTAAGACAATAAAGTACCTGGATCTCATAAAATAAGAAACTAAAGGTTTTTTACTAATCACCTGCAATCCTAGTACTTTCTACTTTTTGCCTTCTAGCACACGAGTTTTGTGACACAAAGTACAGAAGCTTGTAAGAACTTTAAAAGAAGTTTTTTTTTTTGAGCTTCGGCTTCCCAGAATCCTATTTTGTAAAATAATTGACTTTAAATTGATTGAAGCTTTAAAGCAAAAAGGCATTGTAGTTTTATATTTGTTCCTGTTTCTTCGTCGCATTTTAAAAAATCATTTTTCTGTATGTAAAAGGCAAAATGGGCACACAGACACTTTGAGAAAAGGAGATGAAGAAAAGGGAAAAGAAAAAGCAGAACGGGACATGGCCGTTTGGTGTGGCTATGTATCAGCACGAGGATTCACACACTGATTCATCTTTCTTTCTTTCTTTCTCTCTCTCTTTCTCTCTCTTTCTCTTTCTTTCTCTCTCTTTCTCTCTCTCCATCCACCTCGATTCCTTTGCCCATTCTCCCGACAACAAACTCTTCTTTCGTCAGTGTTTAGATTAAACTTGACTCTTTTTATGTATACAAATCTGTTTTTATATTAAAAACTCCTTTTAAACAAGTGTTTTGTTGAGCTTCGGCTTCCCAGAATCCTCTGCAGAATCCTCTGCCTTAAGTACTCAACCTTTGCTAAAGCTTTTAGCTAAATTTCCATTCAATTGCTGTCAAAAATGTGCTGCTGCTGTTCTGCTTTTCACTTCTACTTTCCAAATACATTTGTTAGTCGATATTTCTTTTCATTTTATTCAATTCGATTGATTCTTCGATAATTTTTAGTGCTTTTATTACGAAAAAACATTCTAAAATGTTAGCGAATGAAACTAAACCGGTTACCAATCCCGAAAACCATCTTTTCCAAAGTAACTTCTTTACTTGAACCCCTCAAACAATAAATTCCATTTCACTCTTTTATCCTCGCCAAGAATTCTCCCAAAAATATAACCTCTCCACTTTTTAGAACATAAAAAAGAATAAACCTTCTTCCTTTACGGCAATCCGAAAAATTCCCACCAAATTGTTGTCTCAGCGTCTCGGGAGGCTACAAATTGCTTGAAAAAATTGAAAATTTCACTTACCTCGTCATCCCAAATGCACACAAGGTTTTGTAGGGGAAAACGATGGGAAGAAAAACTTGTTGTCGAAAAATCACCCGGGAAAACAGTACGATTTTCCGAAATTTACTAGAATAGAATAGAATAGAATAAAAGAATAGAAAGAATAGAATTAAAGAATAGAAAGAATCTCTTCAATCCATTAGCTTTCATCTATCAGTCAAACCATTCCATCTAATAGACTCAAAAAAATCCTCAATCTCATCTCAAAAAAGAAAGTTAGTCATTTCTACGCCGCCATATTTCTACGCCATTTCTTTCAAATCTTCAGCATCGCATTTTCTCCAAATTTTCCCCTTTGATCGATGCGATTTAAATGTTATTTTTCATAAATTCCTTTCTGTTTTCCCTATTTTTTTTTGGTTTTTCTTTCTCAATTCTTGAGATGATCATCGAGATGTGTTGAATTAATTTCACTACCCATTTTCACTATTCCCCCCCTTTCCCCTGTGCTCAATTGACTAAATATGCAAAATGCAAAAATCAATGCGTTTCTTGTTCCCATTCCCAGTTCCCAAAATCACACATTTTTTATATACATAAGCTTATTCGCTTATTCTCATCCGATAAATGCAATTGGAATTGAGAAACTTTAAACTGATCGATTTTAGCTTGATCGATCGATTTAAACTGATCGATTTTCTTACAAAATGTACTTGATTTCAATTCTTCACAATTTTAACTTCTTTATTAATCATTTTTTTAGGTATTCATCTTCTCGGCTCTTATTCTTGATTCTTTATTTGCGGATTTCTTCCCGAGGAGCTGCGACTCCCCGGCAAAACTTCAATCATCGTGCGACTGAAAAACGGTGAGTGATTGAAGTGATTGAAGTGATTGGGAAATGAAAAGAAATCGAGTTTCAAAACAGATTTTTGGTTAACAGAAAGCTATCTAGTAGCTAGTAAGCATCTAGTTTAACGTTTAAATAGAATTCGAATTAGATTTATAAGCTTGATCACTTTTACAGGCTACGATTAGATAAGAGCAGCTTCAGCTCGGAATTCTAAGAAGCCTAATCTATGCTTGTCATTGATTTGCGATACTCACTAGGGAATGTTGTTAACTTATCGTGGCTTTTGACTCGGGAACCTATCTGATGATATCTAAATAGCCTATCTGATGCAGTTTTTCACGCTGATTCCGAATCTGCAATTAGTTTTTGCCAAACGATTCTCTATCGCGAGATATTTGGCATACAAGTTTTTGGGATCTCTTTATGAGGGCGACGCAAATAAATCTAATTAGAATTTTTCAAATACGCCAAATATCTCGCGTCGCGATAGAGAAGCGTTTGGCAAAAACTAATTGCAGATTCGGAATCAGCGTGAAAAACTGCATTAGATAGGCTATTTCCCGAGTCAAAAGCACCACGATAAGTGAACAACATTCCCTAATCAGAATTGTTCAATCATTTTCTTTCTTCTTGTCAAGCTTCAAAATAGTTAAAGGTCTTGAAAACGACTGAATACTCAACACCATTTTTGTCTCTTTTCCAATTTGGTACTACATGATGTTGATTGGGGAATGAAAGACAGGAAAAGAGAGTGCATTCAATGTGAATGAGTGCGCGTCTTTTCTCTGTTGTCGGCGTCCGTTCAAGGCCAACCTTTCCCAATCCACTTGCGATCCTCGGATCCCTATCGGAATTGGGTCACAAAACATCACCTCTTCTTTCCTCTTCTTTTCGTATTGTATTTTTCTCTCTCTCTTCTTCCTTTTCTCCTATTGCTGTTTTGTCATAGAGTCTTTTCAAATAGCTTGCCGATTTTCTCTTTTTTAAATCGATTTTGTTTAGATCTAGAAAAGATCCTTTAGGAATCAGTTGAGTGGCTCGAAATTGAACTTCTTTACCATTCTTCTAGCTCCTTTTGCTACTATATTGCTCATTTCTTGACCATGAATTGCCAATCCAGATCTAGCTTGTCTTGTAAGCCATAAAGCCTGTTCAACTATCGAATTTCCTACAATTTCCTACAATTTTCCTACAACTCATACCTTTACCCGTTCTCATCAAGCCAAAGAGCCAAAGTGCGTCTCCTTTCATCCAGACGCAACATCTCCACTCCACCCAATCACCTCACCCACCCTTTTTTATCAATTTCTCTAAATCTTTTCTCTCAAAGTTCAAAATTCTCTTCATTTCATTTTCTTCTTCTTCTTCTTCTTCTTCTTCTTCTTCTACTTCTTTTCCCTCTTTCACCCCATTTTTCCGAGCTGATAACGGCCAATATTTACTCTCAGAATACTCAACCCATTCCCTCAAAAAGCTTCTTTCTTTTCCTTCTTTAAAAAATTCGAATATTTGATTCCTTTTTGAAGATCAAAAAAAACGGATGAAAATGGGTATGTTCTTTATCAAAATTTGTGAAAAAACTGCCGTTTTCTTGGCAAATTTGTTTCCCCAATCGAAAACACGACTCCAAATTTCCTCAAAAAAAAAAAAAAAATGCACTACGAAAATTTGTGTGTAAGTCTTCCCTCCTGTTCCTTTGTAGAAAACTAGCAAAGAAATTGTAGATCCAATTTTCTTCGAGTTTTCTTCAATTTTCTAGCTGTTTATTTAGAGAATTCTCCTTCAAGAAATACTGTAGTGAAATCGATTGGTTTTTTCGTTTTTTTCGCTTTTTAAGCCAATTTCCCATACGGCTGTCAATCTGAATCCAACTGTAAATTGTAGCCGATAGCCGAGAGCGAAAATTTATCGGCATTGCGTTAAAAGGAATTTATGAGCACAGGGCCTTGTTTGCCTTATAGTCGAGTGGCTAGCGAGCTCGACCCTCGCCTAAACCCTCGTGGGTTCGAACGCGCAAGCCATTGTTTTTTTGTTTTTCTGCAAAACTTTCTGCATACAATACATCCCTTGGATAAGGGCTTTGCTGCTTTTCACTGAACTACTTACAAGAACTAAAGTCTTCATAAGTAAAGGCTTTGCTCAGCCTACAGTACGAGACGAAGAATGAATTTATGATCACAGACGCGCTCATAACCGAATGGTTAGCGGGCTCGACCCTCACCGAAACCCTCGAGGGTTCAAACCGCCTAAACCTACAGTACATCTTTTGACTTTTTTTTTCGGCTGTCAATCAGAATCCAACTGTAAATTGTAGCGGATAGCCGAGAGCGAAAATTTATCGGCATTGGGTTAAAACGACTTTATGATCGCGGAGGCTTGTTTACCTCATAGCCGAGTGGCTAACGAGCTCGACCCTCGCCTAAACCCTCGCGGGTTCAAACCCGCAAGCCATTATTCAAAGCATTGTTTTTTGTTTTTCTGTAAAACTTTCTGCGTACAATACATCCCTTGGATAAATGCCAAGAAAATAAGAAAATAAGAAAATTCGAATCCTTCTCTCCATTGAATATCAATTCTTTTCTCATCTTTTCCCTCCAAATGATGACTGTTTTGTATGCACTCTCTTTCTCACGAAAAAAGGAAAAACAAGGAGAATTTTACCACCAATAGTGAATACTAAATAAGATCTAATGAATAATTCTTCTCGTTTTTTTCTTTTATTTTCTTTGACGGAGCTGCTGATGATGAGTTATTTAGACATTAATGGGAAATCTTTGCTGTAGCTTTGCGATAATGTTTAATTAAAGTTTTTGAAATTACAAAAATCAAGCGAAATTCTATTTCTATTTAATTGAATTTTCGATTCCAATTCATCATTTCATTTCAAAAATTTTGCAGATCCGGCTATGCTCGGCCCAATGTCCTCCCAACCGCACTCCAATGGGGCGGCACCGTCAAAGCTCGCAGGTCAACTCAAAACTAATCTAACAATATCAGAAATTAGCAAAAAAATATTCATAAGGTTTATAAAAAAATCATAAACTTCTAATTTTAAGCTAATTAGAAAAATACTAGACTTTTTATATGCATTTAAACCTTTTCAAAGCTGTACTTCAAAAAGAAAGGAAGAAAGAAAGAAAGAAAGAAAGAAAGAAAGAAAGAAAGAAAGAAAGGAAGAAAGAAAGAAAGAAAGAAAGAAAGAAAGACTTCTATCTTCAGATCAAGAAAGCCATCTCAAGAAAGCCATTGAAAAGATTTGAAAAGCTTTTTTTTTGGTTCAACAGAATTGCTATCACTTTTTCACTGGTTTATATATTCTGAGTATAACCTTTATCTCTTTATATTAGTAAATTAGTTAATCTTTTTGAAAACTTATATCAAGAAAGAAAGAAAGAAGAAAAGAAAGAAAGAAAGAAAGAAAGAAGGAAAGAAAGACAAGAGAGAAAGACTTCTATCTTCAGATGAAGAAAGCCATCTCAAGAAAGTCATTGAAAAGATTTGTCCATCATAGATTCTACAAAAAATGTTCAAATTGAATTAATAGAAACTCTGAAATATTTGACAGCCTGAAAACTATTTATTTTTTCCAGGCAGACAACACTGTTTCCTTTGCGATCTTCCACGATGGCCATGGGCAATGTGCAGTGATTACGGGGAGCCTGTTTGCAGAGGATGTGTCAATTTTGAGGGAGCTGATCGGTGAGTTGAAAAAGAATCTATGTGAACAGCTGTAAAGTCGTCAAAAATCTCATTTTTAAAAGTGCACTCTTTATTTCTGTGCAAATCCGCTTCTTCTTTGACCCTTAAAAGTACTGAAAAAGCACCCGCATTTCACTCAAATTCTATTTATATTCCAAATTTTTTTGTCGATTTTTGTCGATTTTCTTTGCTTTCCCCTATTCTTTGATGATTTGGGTGAGATTTCTCGAAAAAGAAAACAAAAATTTGCTCTTTAACCCTCACAATTTCTTCTAAACCCTTCGCTAAAGCCTGATAAAACGATATTTTGGGTAAAATGAAATCTCATTTCATTTCTTTCTCTCAAAAATTCCCCTCTAAGATCGTTATCACAAATTTCTTTGAAGGGAAAAATGTGTCAGAATGACACTCAACAAATATTTATTGTTGAAGAATTGTGGAATGCTTTAGAAAGATCCGGTATAGCTAAATGATTAAGAAAATTGATAGAATTTGAATGAAATAGAAAAAAGAAAATCCAATACTTGTGGAAAAATCCAAAAGAAAATCCAAAATTCTCTCTCTAAGATTACTCTAAGACAGTTAAAATAAGTCCTTTTTCGTTTAGTGTAGTATTGTAAAGTATACCTGTAAGTATACGATTACTCTAAGACCGAAGACAGAAGATCTCTAAGATAGAAGATCTTTAAGACAGAAGATTTCCTGTTCCTAATAAAAGAATAGAAATGTGAATTTTTGTTTTGATAGTTTTAATTTCTTTCATTTTTTTTTTCTAAATCAAAAGCTTTCAAATACTCATCTTCTTTCTTTTCTTTTTCCTTTTTCTCAATCATTCAATACCCTATTGTTGATTAGAAAAAGAGCATGAATAAGATGAACAAATCATTGTTTATTGTTCTCAAATCATCACTGAAATTTGGGGAAAACATTTGCTTTGATGAGCAAAAGATATGAAATATATGAAAAGATTCTGATTCAAATAATTCTGAGAGTTTTCAGAATCGAAAGTGTGATTGATCAAGCAAGACAAATGAAGAGAATGCATGGGTTTCCTGTTCCCGAAACGAATGGACGAGTGAAGGTGGATGATGAGAAATTTCACTATAGCAAGAGTAGCAATAACAAGAGTACTAGATGATAGACTTATTTTGCCAATTGGTAAGCCAATTGGTACTTGAGGAGAAGTACCAATTGGCTTTCTAAGAGAAGCACTTTATATAAGTACTTTTCTTAGAAAGAAGTTGCATCGACCTAGCATAGCAATAGCAAGAGTACTATATAGGAAGAGTACTATGCAAGAGTACTATATACTTATCTTGCCAATTGGTACTTGAGGAGAAGTGCTTTATATAACTTTTCTTACTCTTCTAGAAAGAAGCTGCATCGACCTCAGCTGGCCCAGGCCGAGTCTCCCCTCCGCGAGTCGCTCCACCACCGGTGACCGCATCAACAAATCCGTTAAGCGCTTTGAATCCCCTATCATCATTCAGTGAGGTTGGAAAAGTGATTAATACAGTATTAGATTCTTGATACTTTTTAGGCATTTGCTCAACAACAGCGTCTCCTCCAGCTAGCGTCCACACTCGGCAATCGACCCGGCACCTTCTCGATGGAGGATTTAGCGCTGTTGCAACAACTCCGTCCACTCCCCAATCAACTCCTTCATCCTGCTATGGGTTTACCCGGTTTCGGTGAGTTTTTAAGTTAGTACTTTATCCAGATTCATAGAATTCTCAAGTGCTTTACTAGTCTAATCAAAGTCTAGTCAAATTTGCAATGGCTTTTTATGAGCTTCGAAGTTTCAGGCTGCATCCCTGGTGGCCTTCCCCTTCAACGAAAACGGGATCACGATGATGATAAAACAGAAATCTACGGAAAAGTACAAAGAGGTTTGTTTAAGGGAAATCAAAGCTGAAATCCCTTTCTTTCCCCCCGTTCAACTTGACCCCGTCATGGCCATTTCAGCCGGCTCATCTCCCCCTTTTCATAGGGAGAATTTTCACCATTTTTGAGAGGACACAAATGAACCGGTTTTTTTTCGTGTATAGGGGAAATGACCTCCGTGCCACCTATCCCTTTACCTTTTTTTTTACATTTTTTCTGTTCATGGTCAACCGTCTCTTTCTCTCGTTTCTTTCAATGCTCTCGAGAGGAGTTTTTTTTTGTTCTCTACCTGGTCAGGGACTTGAGGAAAGTTATGGGAAAATGTTAGAATAAGAGCTTAGTTTCTAAGGGGAATCTCGACGCAAACTTGGTTTTCAGTAAGAAACTCTTCAAACTCTTCAAGCTGCTTTTCAACAACTACTTACAAGAACTAAAGTCTTGATAAGTAAAGGCTTTACTCAGCCTACAGTACACCCTTTGACTCATTCCAGAGCGCTACACCTTTCACTGAATATCTTTGATTTATTCTTGATCACCGGAGTGGCTTACCAATTAGCAAGATAAGTAATAAGATAAGTAAGTAAACTGAATCTCTTGTTTAGCAATTTAAAGGATATGCAAAGATACGCTTGAATTGAGTACTTCAACCAGTAGAGTTTACCACCGTAGACCTGATATTTAGTAACAAAAAGAAAACTATGATGACCACCAGTTAGTACAGTAGATTTAAAATCGTTTACATCGATTCTTTTCACTTATCACACTTATAAATTTCCTGGATCTTTCCCGCCTTCCCAATCAGGTGATAGAGGCAATCGTGCAGAACACCCAAGGCATTTTGGTTTAAGGCATACCCTTAAAAACTAAAAAAAAAGAGATAGAGGTCATGGTCGACGTTCCACTCCTCTTTTCTTGACTCAAAAAACGATCTAAAATCCAGAATCTCATCTTTTGAAGATCTTCACGAATGACCTCTCATCGCCACTTTTTTCGACGAGAACCACCCATTGAAGTTTTTCTCATTTTTTCCCCTTTACCAAGGTCACTTTTTTTCTCAATGGCTAACGAGTTTTCTTGTATCGGGCAAAAAACAGCGGTCATTGCAAGCGACAATCTCTTTTTCCATTTTCTATCTCCACCCCTAGTTCTGAAAAAAGTTCTAGCTACCACTCAAGGACATGTGAAAGAAAAAGATGGATTTCTGAGTTTTATAGTGGCTGGGCTTGGGAAAGGTTGAAGGAATGGTTTTGAGTATTTCGATTCTTGGGGGTCTGAAAGTGAAACATTGTTGTGTTTTAGTGAAACATTGTTCTGTTTCAGTGAAACATTGTTCTGATGACTTTGTGCACTGCAGTAGGCACTGGTTTTCCGTGTGACTTTTTTCTCGAATCAAATCAATCGATGTTCAAGATATTCAACTTTCCAGTTGACTAATCTAGTATTAAACTTTTCGTAGTACTGTTGTACTCAACAATCAACAATCCGAAAATGTGAAAACTTTTAATTGAATCGGTTCGGAGTGAAAATGAAAATTTCGAATCGAATTGGATCGATTCGATACGATTCAAAAACCAGATAAAGTTTTCGAATTTGAAGATTTCCAGGAAAACAATAGCAATCCATTTGTAGAGCTAGGCTACAGTACGAAAAAAGAATCACAGAAAGTGCTACAAGATGCTACAGTATGCTACAAGTTTAGGTACAAGGTTCAGAACAGCACAACACAACAATCCTCGAACTAGGATTGTTGAGTACAACAGCACTACGAAAAGTTTAATACTAGATTAGTCAACTGGAAAGCTGAATGTCTTGAGAATCGATTGATATTCCACCTTTCAAACTAAATGAACGTTTACCTGTTGGTGCTTGTTGACCGGTTGAGGCGAAGTAGGAGCACCAGCATCCTTTTGCTCAGAGTTGTAGCGGGGACTATAACATTTTTGAGATTCTACATTAGACTATAACATTTTTGAGAACTTTTCCCCAATTCAAAGTCATCGATTTCCCCATCGCAAGAGGTCAATTTGGAGAAAAAATTTGCGAAAAAAATCTCTCCGCTAAAACCAGTTCTCAAAAAAAATTTCTCTCAATTTTTCTCCTCGGCCACCTTGCGATGATCATCTGGTGGCTCTTTTAAAGAAAAAAAGGAAAAAAAAAGTTTTTCCCATCTCAACCTAGCCTTTTCTTTTCTTGGTGTTTGAGACTAGTAAATAGAGAAAAGAAGAGATTTCAGTGTCGTTTCATTCTTTCTTTCTTCCTTCCTTTCTTTCTTTCTTTCCTTCTTTCTTTCTTTCTTTCTTTCTTTCTTTCTTTCTTCCTTTCATTCTTTCTTTCTTTCTATCTATCTATCTTTCTATCCCTTCCCTTCACCCTAACACGGGTCGTGGCCCTCAAAAAAGTGAGGAAAGTAAGGAGAAAAAGAGGCTTATTGTGAGATTCTGAATAGAGTTTAGGGATTTGTCTCTTTTTTTTTGAGATATTCAAAACATCTCAAACTATCTAAATAGATTATAATAATAAATTTGAAAATGTTCAGGTGATGCCCAGACGACCTCAGTATCCCCAACATCAACCCATTCGCCCGATCATCCGGGCACTGATAGGAGAAAATACGCCATACCGACGGGGTAAATCTTGAAATGAATTGAAGAAATCTCTAGCTTACAATACAAATTCTCGCAAGATATCAAGAAAACGATCAGATGAGAACAGAATTTTCAGTATGGAACGGGTTCTTCGTTGCACTCTTTGCCAGGAGCGACTCGAAGACACTCACTTTGTTCAATGCCCTTCTGTAAACGCACACAAATTCTGCTTCCCTTGCAGCAAGGAATCGATCAAGAAACAGACCCATGGACAGGTAAAAGCAAAAACAATGATCAGTTGGGACTGGGGCAGGTCAAAACTTGTGCACTACCGGGACTCGAACCCTAGATCTTCCACGTAACGAGCAAATGTGCTCACAATTACACCAAAACACACTTGATCTCCCTTGCTCTAGAGGAAGTTAAGTCATCTGCAAGTACTTTGTTTTCAAACCCAATTTTAGGATCTCTACTGTCCCTCCGGTGAGAAGTGCCCCTTGGTCGGCTCCGCGATGCCCTGGACTTTTATGCAAGGAGAGATTGCGACGATTTTAGGTGAGCTTACCTCGTGCTAGATCTACCAAAAGATTCTAGTAATCTAAGCCTTTTTTCAGCCGACGAGTACGACGAGTTCAAGCGTACCCGTGAGGCTGCTGGCCTCGGCGCCGGTTCGGTGCCTCCACCACAATCAGCGCATTCAGCCGGCTCACAAGCCTCCTCATCCGGCCAACAGAACAGTCCCGCTTCAACCACTACAACCGGCTCCTCCACAGCTTCTTCAGCTGCCTCCGGCCCGATTCATGTCAATTGAAAACTCTAGGATTTTCATTTTTATCTTTAGTCTTTATTTTAAGCCCAGATTTATCTTTTGTCTTGTGCTTCGATCTCGAAGAGCACCAAGTTTCCTTTTCTTCATTAGTATCACTTTTTTCAGGAAATTTCTCCACTTTTTTATGTCTTTGCAAAGGATTTAATAGTCTTAGTTAGTAGTTGGGAAAGTTGAATATTGAGAAGGAAAGCAGACACTGACAGCAAGGCGATTTGAAACAGGGTTCTGTGGGCAACAGCACTACCAGTTGTCCAAAAGGCCAGCTTGCTCGAACGAATCTAAAACCCTTCTTAATGCTCAATCGCGAATAGCTTATAAAATTTTACACTTTTCCCCCTTTATCGAATACTTTTTATCCATTATAAAACGAGTAATCGGGTGTTTTTTTTATATTAAAAAGAGAAAAGCGAAAGAAAAGATATATTAGATACAGTAACCAGTTAATCGAATACTATTTTTTTTTCAAAAATTCAACAAAAAAATTCCTTTTGTCACACAAATTTCAAAGTTTTCAGAGATTTCCCTCTTTTTTTTTTGTCCCTCCATTTTTTTTTGCGAATGTATCTCTCCTCAACGTTTTTTTTGTCGTTTTAAATGTTTCTTTCTACTTTTCTCGTTTTGAATAAAGAAATTTGATAAAATAAAGACAGGGTTACGGTAGCTAAAGTATAAAAAATATATTAAAAATAACTTGCCAAGCTAAAGATCTTTACTCGACACACTGCTAATTTTGATACCATAATAAGGCAAAGGGCTTGGATTCACGGTATCTTGGATCTAATCAAGTCCAGAAGCGGTACACCACACGTTCTGCCTTTGTAACCGTACCCACGTGCAACTAGAATCTTCTAGCGCTTTCTTAATACTTTTCTTGGCTTAATTTTTCTCAACAAATCGCGAAAAGTTTCACGACATTAATGCCATTGCATCACATATTTAACACAAATTTATCGGCTAGGAAATATCAGCAGCGTGGCGCAGTGGAAGCGTGCTGGGCCCATAACCCAGAGGTCGATGGATCGAAACCATCCGCTGCTAATCATTTTTGCTTTCTTTGCAAAAACATTCTTTATCGTGCTAAATAGATTTCCCGAGGCTGCTAATAGCATAAAAGATGAAATGCACACTCCCAAAGATTCCCCAAAAACTCTACACATCAGGAGAAAAGTTCAATAAAACCGTCGAAAATTCACGAAAAGTCTTAGCACTCTCAAAAATAGACGCACCAATTATACAAAAAAAAACTTTAGAAAATGCCCCACATTTTCTCTGAATTTAGCAAAGAACACTAAAAAACCCTCAAGGCTTTTTAAAATGGTTAATTTGAAATGTTAGTTTGACTCCACAAAGCAACAATTTCAATTCGACAAAATTGTGATTAAAAGCAAGAAAATTACCAACTTTCATCATACAAAAAGAGCCTCAAAATAGAAAAAGGCAAAAAAAAAAAGAAAATTGCCGACTTTTAGAGAAAATTGCCGACTTTTGTGTGGTGATTTGAAGGAATTCACTCGAAATTTCTTTTGTACAATGTTAAGTGGCGTACTTTTCTTTTCTGAAGAGTACAACAGTTACGGGCCCTTTTTTTGTGTTTTGCAAATTTCGACTGAAGATTAGCGGTGGAGATTTGCAATACTATAGAATTGAGTGAGGAATCGGCCTTAACCATAACTTTTAAATACTACCTTTAAAGCAACGTCTTCCTAAAGTCAAAACCTTTTTCTATAACGTGTTCAAACTTATTTTTAGTTTCATTAAGTTTATCTATATTTTTTCAATCTTTTAACACCGTGTCGCGACTCGAGTGTACAGGATGGAGCACAGAATCTGAACTGAGTGAACCTGAACTGAGTGAACCTGAACTGAGCACAGAAGCTGAACTGAGCACAGAAGCTGAACTGAGCACAGAAGCTGAACTGAGCTCAGAAGCTGAACTGAGCTCAGAAGCTGAACTGTGAACTGCCGTAAAGCATCTTTCGTATCTAGTCGTATACTAAAAGCCGTTTGTTATCCGAAAATTGATACTTATAGAGAGTGTTTCATCACTTACGTTAGACTCATTCTAGAGTATGCATCTACGGGGTGGCGCACAATTACCCACACTCAGTTCACATTCTCCAGCTTTGCCAAGAGTCAATCAATCGGCCTAATTCTCTTATTATTATCAAATTGAATATTTCCCTTGCAATGGGTTTTCTGGATTTGATCAGAAAAGTTTCGAAGCTTTTGCTAGAGCGCTGCAAAGTTACGACACACGTTTCCTGCGGCGGAATCGCGATTTTCTGGTTTTTGTAACTAGTTTCAACGCCTGAAAATCAAAGAAAACCAGCTTCATTTACTCCTTTCTACTTATGATTTTCAAAATCTAGCTCATTTTTACTAGAAAACAATGAATTTCGTTTAGAGACCAAAGTTTAAAATGTGAATTTGAACTATTTGTCTAGCTTTCAGTCAGTCAGTCAGACAAGTCAAGCTGTCAAGCAAGTCAAGCCAAGCTTCTGGCAGAATACAATCTATGATACTGGCAAAACAAACAAATTTATAAATAAAATCTAGAGAAGAAAAAGGAACAATAAAAAAGTACATAAAAAAAGCGGTTTATCTTGCCGAAAAAACCAGGCCGGACTACGGTATCTTATCCACAGTTTAGTCTAAATTTGCAAAACACACAAAAGAGCCTGTAACTGTTGTAATCTTCAGAAAAAAAAGTAAGCCACTTTACACTTGATTTGTACAAAGAAATTTTCGTATTGTAGCGTAGGTAGCTTCGTATTGTAGCTTTGTATTGTAGCTTCGTATTGTAGCTTCGTATTGTAGCGTAGGTAGCTTTCAAGCAACGCCTTCCTAAAGACAAAACCTTTTTCTAAAACTCTGTTTAAACTAATTTTTTGCTTTATTTTTTCTTATCACCTTTCATAAATCCTAACAGAATCTGTCCAAAAGATAGATAAAACTAAAAGCAAGATTACGGTAGTTTTTAAAAATAGTCACGTTTTAAGAAAGCGCTAGAAGATATACCGATTCTATTGGGTTGATGGAAAAGTCCTTTCGGATTTTTTGGGAGAGTACCTTAAATTTGTCGAATTTAGACGTTTTATAGCTCATCCTAAAGCTGAATTCAAGACGGATCGATTGGTAAAAACCGTTTTGAGATATCTCTTTTTCTAAAAGTTTTTACAGCTATTTTAGTAAAGGGTGGCAGAGCCAAAAAATGGCTGTTTTCACGTTTCGTTAGTTTTCCGTGCAGAAACCTAGGCTAAAAACATGTGTTTCGTGATCAGCGTCAAAAATAACCCCTAGACACGCATTTTCAATCCAAGTCCTTTGCCTTATTATGGTATCAAAAGTAGCAGTGGGTCGAGTAAAGATCTTTAGCTTGGCAAATTTAAAGAATAGCTACATCTTGCTATACTACAGCACACTTTAGTTGAACAGGCTTTTGAGAATTTAAAAAAAAAATGGTTCAAATAAATGAACTCTTGAAACAGTTGTACCTGAACTACAAAGATCTTCAAGCAGTGTAGTCGGCTAGTCAAAGAATGATGCAGAACCCTTCGTTTTCCTTCATTGAGTGAAGTCTGAAGCGATCGGAAATCTCTCCAAATTGCCCCCCACTGAAGTGGGAAAAAAAACGATTTTGGAAGACCCTTTCACTTCCAAGTTTCTCATTCTGTAATACTTTTCGCTTTGTCATCAAGTCTATTCTTAAATCTTTTGTTTGTGATCCTAGTTTACCAGTCTTTAAACAGAATTTTTTGTTTTAAAAGTATTGCTTGTCATTCATTTTGAAACTGTTTCAAATTTTCCATTACTATTGGACAATTTCAATAAACTCTTTGATTCCAAAATAAAAGCAGAAAAAGGATTGCATCATCATTCCCTGATTATATTCAAAAAATTCCATTTTTGTGTGATTTCTGTCTTCTTTTTACTGTCTATTTAGTGATTCCCAACAAAGGATTACATAAACTTCCTCAACATTGACCCACTTGATTGCACGTATTTATGGCTATTTTGTGCCGCTCGAATCGCAGCAGCGTGGCGCAGTGGAAGCGTGCTGGGCCCATAACCCAGAGGTCGATGGATCGAAACCATCCGCTGCTAATCAACTTTTGCTTTCTTGCAAAAACATTCTTTACCTTGTTGTTAATGTTTGCGTGAATGTTGAAGGGTAAAAATATATAGGAGATCTGAATTTTATGACCCAATTTTCTATGTTTTTCAAAATTCAATGTACAAAAGTTTTTCTAATTTTCAAATTATCCCTATCATTTAGCTTCAAAAAATCCCCATTTTCTTTTTTTTTTTTGAAATGCCAAGAAAAACGGATTTTCCAAGTAAAACTCGAAGCGCCAATTTTGAAAAATTTACCCCTTTAAAGCTAATAATTTCGATAATTATGAAGAAAAATTTTTCGAAATCGTTAAAAGTATCAATTTTGCTTACGCTTTTAGTGAAAAGATGGGCAAAAACAAGAAAAAAAAAGGTTTGTATATTTGTGAATATTTTGAGCTTTGTACGAAGAATTTCGTATGTAATTGTTGGCTTCTCGACGTGATTTGTTTTTGCGAATTTTTACCGAAAGTCGAGACTTTGAGTGATTTTGTGATTGAGGTCATCGAAATTTCGAGAAAATAATTGGCATTGTATTTGAAAAGTCGAATCTTTATTATTTCTTCAAAAAAATGCCCGCAAAATTGAGAGTTTAAGGTAAATAATGTTTTTGAAAAGAAGCAAAAACCCTAGCGATAAGAGTGTATGTCAGATCCGACGATACGAAGTATACAGTAGTGCAGAATTCAGCTTTCTTTTATATTAACACCCTTCACGAAAACATTAACAACAAGATAAAGATTGACAAAAAAAATGTTTAGCAGCGGATGGTTTCGATCCATCGACCTCTGGGTTATGTGCCCAGCATGCTTCCACTGCCCCCACGCCGTTGACACTCGTACGGCACAAATTAGCGTTAAATACGT